AAATGGGGCATAATTTATCAGAAAACCATTTTAAAAAGTCATGTGTATTGCACATAACTATTTTAAGTAATAAATTTTCTAAAACACCCTTTTTACTCTCCCCAAAATACCCCATATATCATCATTTTGCATATAAACCACATTTCCCTCTTACAAACACATCTCCCTATTTCTCTAGCCACTTTGTTTCTCTCCCTACTCCTCTCCTGAATACTCAGTGCCTCTCCACGATCTCCACTGTTTTTCGACTTCGGTAGAGCTACTCCAAAACCTTATTGATTTCAAGGGCAAAGTGAGAAAAACATCACTAATGTGAGCAAATAACAATCCTATTATTTGTATTTAGGGTTAGACATTTTGATCATTTTACATTTACTTAGTTTTTCACCTTTTTTTTCCAATTACGTAAGGGCACTTCAGTCTTTTAATCATTCCAATGACAAAAGACCATTGCTCGCACCAAAAGTAAATGTTAGAGGCTTTTAAGAACCTATAGAAACCTATATACATACTACAAGAGTGTTTATTAATTGTATGCAAACAACCAAAAAAGTAAGGTTTTTTTTTTTAACTTTTGGAAATTGGGTTTTTTAATAACTATATTAAGAAAAATAATTTTAAAAAAACTGTAAATGAAAATTTTCAATTATTTATATTTATTATCCTCTAGAATTCTAAAAAATTTGAACTAAAAGCCCCTTTGAGTAACTTGGGTTTGTTCAATGTGGAAAAAACCTTTCAAAAATCTGCATACTCATGATATTGAAAGAACATTCACATTACGTTTGGTAAAGTGTACTTCAAACCTTTGAATTAAAATTGACAATCATATAGTGGTATGAGATAAATAAATTAATTAATTAAAAAAATAAAAAATAAAAACAAGATCTCCATTGCTCTAATGCTTTTGCACATGTTTTTTAATGTGGCTTCGCGTTGCTAGCGAAAATTTTAACCAAAAAATAAAAAATTCTCACATGATTGTGGTCGTGTATGATTTTGTGCAGGGCAAAGTGACAAAAAAACAATCCTAATGTTTAAATTTTGGACAAATAATATCTCTATAATTTATTTTCGGTATATAAGTCCGTTAAGTTTGAAAAAATTGACAAAAATGAATTAATTTGAATAATTTATTACTATTTTAAGTAATAAATTTTCTAAAACACCATTTGCTCTCCCCAAAATGTCCTTTATACCATTTTACTTATAAACCACATTTCCCTCTCACAAACACATCTCCCTGTTTATTTCTCTAGGCACTTTTTTTTTTTTTTTTTCAGTTGCTACACACCCATGCCTCCACTGATATTTAAACCCTTAACCTCCCTTTGAGAAGTATGGACTTGATACCGGGGCCACTGACCTGTTAGTTCTTTGGCTACTCTCTTTCTCTCCTTATTCTCTAATTCTCATTGCCTCTCCACAGTCTCCAAGATTTTTCAACTTCGAAGTGGTAGAGCTACTCCAAAGCCTAATCAATTTAAAGGGCAAAGTGAGAAAAACATCGCTTATGTTTACGTTTTGGACAAATAATATTCCTATTCTTTGTATTTAGGGTTATGCATTTTAGTCATTTTACATTTGCTTAGTTTTAAACCTTTTTTTTCTAGTTACATAAGAGCACTTTAGTCTTTCAATCGCTTCACTGACAAAAAAAAAACTCATATGCATATTATAAGGATGTTTATTGCCCGCAAGAGCTGCAATCCTTCTATGTGTATGCAAGTAACAAAAAAAAAAAAAAAAATTGTTTGTTTGTTTGTTTTTTTTATTTTTTATTTTTTTCTGTCTGAAATCTTTTAGTAACTATATTAAGAAAAATAATTTTCAAAAAATTGTAAATGAAATTTAAATTACTTATATATTTCTATCCTCTAGAATTCTTAAAAAAAAAATGAACCAAAAGCCCCTTTACCTATGTTGTTAACTTGGATTTGTTCAATGTGGAAAAAACCTACCGTCCATTGGGGTTGGAAAATCAGCAAAATCATGATATTGAAAGGATGAAAGAACATTCACATTATGTTTGATAAAGTGGACTTCAAACCTTATAATTAAATTTGACAAATCATATTGATTCAATTATTAAATTACTTTTTCAATATTTCATTTTTAAGGGCCATTCGTCAACTTGGTATAACATTTTCTTTTTCAAAAGAGAGGTGACAAATTTAAATCGTTAGTGGGGAATCGTCGGTGTCGGAATTGTTTACCTAACCAAAATAAATAAATAATAAATTTAATACGGAATTTCAAAATACTAAACACAATCAATTAAAACAAGACTTGTATTCTAACAATACTTTATCACATTTCAAAGTAGAAGGTGAGGGCATAAGTTTCCTTAGAATTTCAGTGAGTTTCTTGCCAAGATGAAAAATAAAAAAATAAATAAACACAATAGATTAAAATACTATGAAATTACTTATTTACCCCTATCCAGTGAAATCATGTTTAGTAGGAACAAGAATTCGGTTTGGTCAGAGTTTGAACTCCTTGGGTTGGCTTGGGCTTCCTTGGATGGGCTTCAACTGACAGCCTAGATGAAATTAGAGAAGCAATTCGGACTTCAATCCAGCTAAATTCAAGATGTAAAATCCTTATAAAAAAATGTCAACCACACTTATAATTATATAATATATTTAATATTATAAATATAAAAGTTGCATCAAAATTCAGGTCGGGTTGATTTCTAAGTTTCTGACATCTCAACTCAAACTCAAGTTCGGGTTAAATTTTTTTAACCCAAATCCAGCTCTAATTGTAAATACAATTCTCTTTCGTGAAAAATCAGTTCGGGTTTGGGCTGGATTCAGTTCGGCTTCTTAATTGAAATTGAACTGTAAAACAAAAATTTTTTTTTGAATTTGAACTAATTTGACATGTAAAAAGCCCAGGCAAGTTTCGCCCACAAATTGGACTCTGATTAGGCCCTATCATAAACGGCCCAACAAAATGAACATTTTTAAAACTAGATCAGGGGCTGGGCCATATCTAGGCCCACCCAATTTGAAAGTAGAAAAGCTAAATAGTTTCTAATAAATCAGGCTAAACCTAGATTGGGCAGGACAAAAATTCCTAAGCCGGCCGAGATAGTTTGGATGATTCAACCAGGATAATTTTCGGGTACCTTCAGTGCATTTAAATCCACAGTGCAACATTTACCCTATAATATTAAATCGAGAATATAACATGTACACATGTTGCATTCTCGATTTATACGATGATTAATATTTCATCATCGATGTAAATGTGTTTCAGGTTGTTAGGTGAATATTGCACCATAGATCAATGTAAATGTATTGTATTGTCAATCTAAAGTGCACCAGATGATATTGAACATCAAATTGTATGAGAATTAATACATGGTACAAATCACTGGATGACATGTAAGCAATTGCGTTAATTTAATGTTTACTGTATTTAGCTTATGTGTCATCTAGTGATTGGTCGGGATCACGGATCATGTAATAATTTTTCCAAACCGAAAGAGGATCCGGGTTTTTGAATGTTTGTGTATATGTGTTTGAAAATTTACTATACCTCAAAAATATTTTCAAAATGCCTAAATTTGATTTCAAATGAGGCCTAAAATTTGATCCGTCCCATGTCACCAGAAAGAAACTTCAACCATTTGTTCAAACTCGAGCCTGCATTCGGCATAATATTTAAACCTAGACCATGGGCTGGGCCATATCTAGGCCCACCCAATTTGAAAATACAAAAACAAAATAGTTTCCAATAAATCAGCTTAAACCCATAATGGGCTGGGCTCAAATTCCTAAGCCGGCCGAGATAGATTGGATGCTTCAACCGGGCAACATTTACGTAATGATATTAAATCGAGAATGTAACACGTTGCATTCTTCATTTACATGACGATATAATATGTTGCATAAATATTGCATCATTGATGTAAATGTGTTTCAGACTTTTGCGTGAATATTGCACCATAGACACATAGTCAATGTAAATGTATTGCATTATCTATCTAAAGTGCACGAGATGATATTGAACATGAAATTGTATGAGAAATTATTCTATGGTATCAACCACTAGATGACATGTAACTAATTGCGTTAGTTTAGTGTTAACTTTATTTAGCTCATGTGTTATCTAGTGATTGGTCAGAATCACGGACCACGTAATAATTTCTTCGAACCGCAAAGGAGAGGATCCAGATCTTTGAATGCTTTTGTGTGTATGTGTTAGAAAATTTATATGATGTCAAAAATATTTTCAAAATGCCTAAATTTGATTTTCAAATGAGGCCTAAAATTTGTTCCGTCCCATGGCCAAAAAGAAACTTCAACCATTTGTTCAAACTTTAGGCTGAATTCTACATAATCTGTCATGAGGAACACCAATAATTTTATAAAATAAAATAACCTGGATATAAAAATGTTATATATATATCATAGTCTTCCTATGTTCTTGGAAGTCGTATCAAACCAATCAGGGATGTGTTTGGATGAGCTTCCTGTTGTGAAAAGTCCTTTCAATATAACGGACCTTCAAGAATCACTTATAGGAAGGAATTTAGAAATAAAAAAGGCGTTTGGTTAACCTTACTTTTGAGAACTTCTTTTATGTACAAAAGTGATTTTACTCACACGATATGTGTTTGGTTGCTAAGTCACCGAAGTCCTTCTACTATTAAATAACTACAAATTTACAATAATATCCTTACATAATATTTTTCTATATTTTATTTGACACAAATATTGAATCATATCAACAACAGTTTAGTAATTAAAAAAAAAAAATTGTAATTAACATAAAATTATAATGAACAATTAGATAGAACACTTCTACCATTGAAAATGGATACTCGATATGTTAAATATTATTTAAAGAAGATAATAAATTGCCATTTATATATAAAGTAAACATGATCAATAATTTAAATATTAATTTCAAATAAACAATAATTATTCAAAATAAATAAGTTAAAATTTTAGAATCAATCCTAAGACATAAATAGACTAAGGAACAATTTATCTAGTTGATTGCCATATTGAATTAGCAATCCCATCACGTATAATGCTCATCTCTTGTTGTTGGTCCACCGTTCCACTAGATTCCGATAAAGTAGCACGCGTGTACATATCATCGTTGTCACTGGCACAACCTTCATCATCATCGTATCGTCGAAATTCGGCATCTGTTATTGCTTCTTGTCGTATATCATTGTGTAATACCATTGATGCAATCACAATTAACCTTTGTGTTGGGAATGGAAAAGGAGCCATATGTTTTAAAATTGCCCACCGAGCCTTCCAAACTCCAAAACAACTTTCAATTATATTTCTAAGAGATGAGTGAGCATAATTAAACAGTTCTCTAACTCCTCTTGGTTGGCGATTTCTTTGAAATTCTTGTAAATGATAACGTACTCCTGTATATGGTGCTAGATATCCTGGCATGTTAGCATACCCAACATCAACAACATAATATTTACCTACAAAAAGAAAAAGAAAAATATATAAAAAAAGTTACATAACAAAGTTAAAAAAAAAAAGAAAAAAGAAAAAAAATATAATACAAACCACTTGGAGGTTTGGGAAAGTTCAAATTTGGCCTACTAAGAGCTTCGTTAAGTATATGAGAATCATGAGGCAAATAACCTCAAATAACCACTCCAGTATCATAAAACTATCAATTTCTATATATATATATTTATATAAATTAATGATAAAAATTGCATAATGGTAATTTTGAAACTAAATAATAAATTTTCTTAAATAAAAAACTATGGTTGGGATGTCTTAGAAGTCATGTGTCGATTTTGAAGCCAACTAAGGTGATCGGTCTCGTCAACTATCACAATAATAATCAACCATTTGCAATAGCACAAATCATTTTAAAATAGCACTATTGTTTGGGTAAGTCGAACCATTAAGATTGTTAGTTTATGGCAACCAAGGTTGTTAAAATCATTTAGTTTGATGAAGGGGGTATAGAGTTTTATTTGGTTTGTCACTTAGAACTAGGGATTAAAGAGTGCATAAAACAATAATTGCAAGGAAATTAAGAGGAAAAAAATCTAGGTAGAGAGGACTAGGGAAGTGAATTCACTACCTACCCTATAAACATGCTAGAATATGATTTACATGCGAAAACAATATATATAGTGGTCATGATATGTAGCACCACATGGTTACTACATTATCTTCAAGAAGTTCATGAAATCAAAAGGCAAGAATAACCTATCAAAGTTTCACATGCTTGAACTACCTAAACTAGGGTGTGGCCTTAAACATGCTCACTAAGCTAGAGATTATCAAGCCCTTAATCAAATGATGAAAGCACATGAAGCTAGAAGTCAAGCATAGACCATCAAAGGAAGGACCTAAGTCATGGACTATCAAGATTCTCCAACAACATGCCATTAAAACCATTCCACAATCTCATTTTCATTGTCACTATGAAAATGCAAGCCATACTATCATGAGAAAATATGATCTAAGACAAGATAATAGATTCAACATAATTATTTATAAGAATTTAGGTTTATTACATCAAGTGTAAACTCTAGATTATGAAATAACCACATATACACATCATTTCCCCCAAAATAAACCAAAACTAGAACATGTTTACTAGAGAGGGCTTCATCACCTCCCTAGATAGGGAGTTAGTTTCCCATGGATGCAAGGGATGAAGGAGAAGAAGTGGTCTCACCCTCCATTTTCGCAGTTAGGAGCTCCAAAACACATAAACCCTCTAAACTCACAATATTTCTCTCTCTAAAACTTGAAAAATGTGAGATATCTTTTTCTTACAACTATACATGCCTTATATCCATCAAACTAGCCTCCCAACTACTCTTAATTTTGTGGCCTCTCATCCCTAAAAGATTGTAGAACCACCTATTGGGTCAAAGGGGACAAGATGAGCTAAATCATGGAGTGGGTGAGCAGCTCTCTGCAGATTGGCGGGCGCTCGCAGGCGTAAGGCGGGCACCCGCGGGTTCATGGCGGGTGCCCGTGGCTTGTCCTTGATGCGAGCCGCGGCACACGGTGGGGGCCTGTGAGGCACGGCAGGGCCCCGCGAAAACCTAAGCATACTGCCTTGATTGGCGGGTGCCCGTAGGGTCTTGGCGGGCGCCTACGCTGTCCCTTCCTTGCACCAATCTGCTATTTACAACTTGCCAAGATTTGGCTCGGCCCGAAGATGTTGTAATTCTTCCTAGAACTTTTTGTATAGAGCGTCATGAGTCCCATGGGTCATTAATCTTGGCCAAAACAAAGGTTCCTAACAACAACGTACTTTGATATTTAAAAACTTATCAAAGTGTCACTTTTAACTCTCTTTTGGGAACCAACCTGAAAATAGTCAAAAGTATGCAAATAAAGCTAATATATACAGTATGATCAACTAATGGACTTAACTAATGCAAATAAGGGCGCTTGAATATGTAATATTTGGCGCTTATCACACCCTCAAACTTACATTTTGCTAGTCCCATAGCAAAACTAAAAATGAAACTCTTAACAAAATGTCAACATTTGAAATGCTATCAACATGCAGCAACCATGGTGCAAGAAAATATATATATAGCTCAAATGTAACTCGGAACAGACAGAATGATGGAGACGGAATCATTTTGTAGACTACCTTGCATATATGAAGCCTTGATATAACAACATGGCTAAACATATTTTAATTCTCATGTATCAACATCATAGTCTATATAAATACTTCAATTGTCATCTCTTGAATAAAAGTCAACTCTAACTTCAGTAAAAGTGAACCAGATTCCTAATATGCGACTTTTACCTTCTTTTTCCAATTTCAAAACACAAGCTTCAAATCATTGAATTTCCCTTTTGAATGAGGTCTCTAAGGCATGAATTTATTCAAAATACAACTTTTGTTGCTCTTTTTATTTATTTATTTATTATTTTATGATACATATTATGGTCGTGTAATGCCGAAGTCCCTTAAGCTTTCTAATCGACCCATGTAGCAAGTGTTAGGTCAGCAATTCCCAAACCAGATGGCTTTAGGGTGCTAAGTGTAAAGACATTCCTAGGGCTTAATAACTTGAATTGGCAAGGTTACAAACTCCAACAAACCATATTTATTTATTTTTATTTTTGTGAATGACCGTGCAATGCCTAAGTCCCTCAACCTTTCTAACTAACCCATGTAGCAAGTGTTAGGCCAGCAACTCCCAAACTAGATGGCTTTAGGGTACTAAGTGTAAAGACACTCCAAGGGCTTAATAACTCGAGTTAGCAAGGCTATGAACTTAAACTAGTTATTATCCTTATTCATTTTTCATCATTTTTTTTTTTATTTTTAGATTCAATGCCAAAGATATCCATTTATTAGGGTCATCAATTCAAATCAACTGAGTCAAGGTCAAGGTTAATCAGGTTGCATGCCTCACAATTGAGTTTTCAGTTTGCATCTGTGAATTGTTAAGCATAGAAGTGTATGAAAACTGACGAGAGTCTAATTGAAGCATTTATACAAACCAATTTGAATCAACATGATCATTTCAGATTTTTCTTTATTTTTAAAACTACCATTTACATCTATACACAAAGTATTAAACACATGCTTCAATCTCCAACAAGTTCCAAGATTACTCTATCATTGCTTTCCAAAAAAAAATTGATTTTTATTACTTTACACGAACAATTAGCGCATGCAAACAAAAATGTAATACCAAAAATGCAATAATGCACCCCCAAACTTAAATGTCACATTGTCCTCAATGTGAGAAGATAAAGAATGGAATTGGAAATGAAAAGAGGGTACAAAGAGCGATAATACTAAGTGAAGGAGGAAATTCAGTGGTGGTGCAAAAATAAGCCACCTTGTGAATTCCAAGAGCACGCCCCCAAACTTGATTTCAAAAACCTGATAAAACACACCTAGGCACAACGAGCATCATATAAATCTAGATAGAGAGAAAAATAAATAACTGCAATTTAGTTAACTAAAAAGGAAGTGTTCATGCAAAATAGCAACACCATTGTAGTTATGAGTTCAAAATAAGAACTAAAAAGCATGCCAAAAGCGGCCCAAAATAAATCCAAAAAGTACTACTAAAAGCAAAATAGATAGGGAAAGCATAAAATCACTCTATCGGAGCTGAGGATGAACTACCGGTGCCGCTTGGGGTATGGTCAATCAGAGTCTGGAGCATGGTCTGCAAGACTTGCTATCCATTTTGAGTCTCCTTGACACAGCGCTCGATGTTCCTAACTCACATGTGAAGTGCATCAATATGAGCACTGAGAGAAACATAATTGGCATAGGACATAGTAGGGGGAGGCGACGCAACAGGAGCAGCCGGAAGGGCAGCCGGGGCAGCCGGTGCTGGAGCAACAGAGATAGCCGGAGCTCTCCAATCAAGCACATCACCTATGCGGGCTTGACATGAAGTCTTAAGTTGAACTGTGCTAGACTTCCAAACCCCAAGGTCAAAATCAAATACATCTGTCTTCTTCTCCTTATGACAGGGTGCTTTGAACCCTTGGTTTTTAAGCAGCCTTGTGACCAGATATGGGAATGGAAACGCCCAATGACATTGCTCATCTGCAGCACAATTAGGTCATTGTAGACCTTGAGAAATTGGTCCCAAACGAGTTATGGGACAGAAAACCAATGCCCTTTCTCTACCGCATGGAGGAATTTCAGAAAAGCCCCTTTGTGTTCAGAATGCTTAGTGATGGGGAGGACATTTTTGGCCAAGACGGAGTCCACGAACTAGCCCTAGCACGGAAGGAATGATTTATTTGTGCTTGTGGTTTTAGTGCCGGTATATTGGTTGTGGAAAATTTCCTCCACAATGTTTGCCAAATTCAGATTAACCGAAAGCTCAACTTACAGAGGCAGGCTCGCCTCATCCACCCAAGACTCCAATAGACATGCCAAAGCTGTGGCAAAGTCATGAATGTTGAATTCAAAAGCGGCGCCATCAATAGTGGTCTTAATGATGTCCAAGTCTGCACATGTATAAAACATGTTTGAGTATAATTGGTGGACTATGCGCGGATAGTAGAAGTTAGCGCGTGGCTTGAATAGAGATTGGAGGCCACGGTCTGTCAATTCTTAAACCGCCCACGCCGTTTCTGGATTGGCTTCAAAGCCATCTTTGATGACAAATTTGGCCTCAGTTTCGATGGGCCATTCCGCCTAATTTGGCATGGGACTGTCATTGGATGGTCCCTCGGATGAGCGAGCATGCTTGGAAGAGACTTTGGGTGCCATTGGAAAGAAATAATTAGTTCGGGCAATTTATCAAACACCTGGTGTGTAAGACAAAAAGGAAGAAGGCCAAAGGTGGATTAGAGATAGAAAATCCCAAAAATTTTAGCCTGCAATCAACAATTTACAACCCCAAACAAAGACAAATCCAGCACATAATCAATCCCGTTCTCCATTGTGCAAAAATTTAGAGAGAGAGAGAGAAAGGAACTTATCAACAATGGAGGAACCCCCTGGTGCTTGGTGATGGAAGATGAGATGAGATGATGAGGATGATGAAGATGGATGTATGATGGGTAGAAGGATGATGGAGATGGGAGAGGAAGAGATTAAGGTGAGAGATGAAGTTTAGAGGGCAAGTGAAAGAGAGGCTGGAATGAAAGAGGGAGAGATAGATTTTGAGACTATTAAAATGGGTTTGAAGTGCCCATTTTAACGGTGTTGGCAGGGGCGGCAGGCGTCCATGCACGCAAGGCGGGCGCCAGCGGATTTATGTTGTGGCTGCCCAATTCGGCGGGTGCCCGTAGATTGATGGCGGGCGCCCTCAAGTTCGTGATCTTGCTACCCATTTTGGCAGGCGCCCGCGGGTTTATGGCTGGTGCCCACATGATCAGGGCGTAAACCTCATTTTTGAAGTGCTTTGTGGCCTAACGGAGGCCGGGCCGGAGTCGACAAATTCCAAATTTGAAATTTAAGCTCTTATTGACCCTAGACACCTTGCAGAACCTTCAAAATGGGATTCGGAGTTCAATTGCAAAAATGATATTTTAGAGGCCAGAATGTCCAGTGATTTTTTGGATTAGTCAAGAAAATTGTCAAAAGGACCCCGAAAAATTCCGAAAATGGTACCGAGACCTTAAAATGACTAAGAAAACCGAATGTGACTTTTAGAATGCAATTCGAGACAATTCCAGAAGGGTTCACATATTGGCTATACTTAGCTAATTTCTGGAAAATTCTTGGCTAAGGCAAATTGGAGGAGGGAAGCTTGGAAGTTGAAAGAATTGCTTCCCATGAGTGCTAAATTTAACGTCGATAGCTAGACGAACCATGGTTTCGCATTAGTCCTAGTAAATTGGGTTTGTCAATAGGACTTTCTTTACTTTTCAGATAGGGACTATGCCATCAACATAAGGCTTAAGCCGTTGGCCATTAACCTTAAAAAGAGATCTATCGGTAGGATCTTGGAGTTCGATTGCACCATGAGAATAGACGGATGTGATGACATATGGACTATCCCACCGCAAACGGAGTTTATCGGGAAAGAGTCACAAGCGAGAATTTAAAAGCCAAACTTTCTGTCCAGGGGCAAAAGACTTGTTGACAATGTACTTGTCATGAAATGCTTTAGTCTTTGCCTTATAGATTTTGGCTTTTTCATATGTGTCATTTCGAATTTCCTTGAGCTCATTGAGCTGCAATTTGTGAGTAAAGTTGGCTTGTTTGAGATCAAAGTTGAGCCAT